AAGGTGTAGAGCTGGATGAACACAGCAGGCCAAGCAGCATTAAAGGAACAGGAAGGCTGACATTTCAGGCCTAGACCCTTGAAGGGTCAGCCTTCCTGCTCCGATGATGCTGCTTGGCCTGCTGTGTTCATCCAGCTCTACACCTTGTTATCTCATTTTTTGTTTCTGTTTGTTTTGTAACCTTTTTTAAATGGCTAGAAATGTACTAGTTTGATTCATCTATATGAACACATAATGTAATTACAGCATATATCCCAAATTTGGTAACAGCCAAGTTTAAAGAGGAAGAAAGACTTTTTTTTCTTGTTTTGTGCAATCATATAAAGCAGTTAAAATAATTTGGGATGTTTTGATTACTTGATCAGTTTCTTCCTAATCAGCCAGAACAGACTTGTAAGTCAGTCTACAATTTTCCAGTTGCTTCTTTATTCTTGTATATTTATTGAATTACCAGCTACTTGTCCATGTTATCTCACATAGAGACAGGACTAAGGGCAATATTATACTTAGTCAGGTAAAGACTCAGAATAATTAGACCAGGCCATTTAATAGAGTTTGTAAGTGGAAGTGAGTAAATGAGTAGAATAAAAATAGAGGGATAATTGGAAGAAGGAAGTGAGGCCTGGTTAGCAAAATGTATCCTTTGTTGGGCCAAGAAAATCTTTTGAGCTTGATAGAGGGTGGTGATTTAACCAATTGGTGGAGGAGAGGCAGAGGCCAGAAAATGCAATCTGCTGGAAAAGGCAATTTTGCAGCTTAAAAATCAATTTTATATATTGGTTTGACCATGGTGTATTGTGCCACAACTTGCCATGACCTAAGAGCCCATCTTTGCCCTTTATTATAACCACTGCTGCCAGAATGTGTGGTTTGATATGGATGAGGCAGTCCATTACTTTGGCCTAGCTAGTAGGGAGTAAGAGAGGACATAAACAGTAAAAAGGCACAAATTTAAAGTAATTTACAAAATAAGCTGATTTTTCATTCGGCATGTAATTAAGGAGTGGAATGCATTGTTTGGAAGTGTGCTAGAGGCAGACTCAATCAAGGTATTCAAGAGCGCATTAGATGATTAATTTAATGAAAACAATGTGCAGGGTTACAGGGAAAAGGCAGGAGAATGGCACTAAGTCATGATGCTCATCTGGAGACCTGGTGTGCGAATGAGCTGAATTACTTCTGTGATACTAGAGATTTTGAGAGTTAATTAAAGTAAGCAATAAAAAATTTATTGCATTTCCGTAAACTATGCACAGTTACATGAGCATTTCTGCATCTCTCCACGACCATCTCAAAGAAGCTGTCCATTTGACATCAGCAATGGGTGGTGCTAATTTCTCTGCCACATATTAACTATTTCAGAATCAATCAGGCCTTCAGAAGGAAAGTGTGTTTCTGCTTTGTAGTAAAAAGCATCTCCAGCCTGAAGATAGTCAGTTTAATTCCCCTCATCAGTTGCTTAAACTTTTAGTAAGTCAAAGATGTTTATAAGTGTGAACCAGTCACTCTGTGCCTCCTGCAAACATGTGAAAGTATCTGGAGAAGGAATATCGTGAAACAGTGGTCTGATCAACAACAGGATCATCTTGGCAAACCTGGTGGACAGGAATCCAAGTCTTTCCCTTGACCTATTGCACCTATGTTCTCTTTTCATCTGCTTGCCTCTCTGTATGTGTGTGTAGAGGAGAAGTTTGAGGGGAATTAAAATTAATAACTGAGAGCTTTGTTAACCATTCATAATTGTTTATTTGTAGTTAGAATTTATTTGTTTGTAATAATTAGTAAATCTCTTTAAGTACAGAAATGTGGCCTGTGCTTTTTCTGTCAACCTAGATCTAAAAGACAGGTAAATTGGGGAAGTCTGCATATTTTTTGTAAAAAACCTTTAATTTTTGGGTTCCTCACAGTGTGGAAACAGGCCATTCGGCCCAACAAGTTCACACTGCCCCTCTGAAGAGCATCCCACCCAGACATATTTTCCTACACCTGATTTCCCAAGTCTAACTCGCTCAACCTAAACATCCCTGGGCACTATGGGCAATTTAACATGGCCAATCCACCTAGCCTGCGCGTCTTTGGATTGTGGGAAGAACCCGGAGGAAACCCAAGCAGACACTGGGAGAATGTGCAAACTTCACACAGACAGTCACCCAAGGCTGGAATCGAACCTGGGTCCCCGACGCTGTGAGGCAGCAGTGCTAACCACTGAGCCACGTGCCTCCCATCTTGTAAATAATTTTGTTACCAGTTTTTTTTCCTTGGAAATATCATCCTTTACCTTCACCACATGTCTGTTCTAATCCTCGATTTGCTGTTTTCTTTTATAAAAAAAAAGTTAAAAGTGCTTCTAGTTTCTTCTTATAGGCACTGTGAAAAATTACTTGATTTGCTGCTTCAGAGATAGTAGGAACTGCAGGTGCTGGAGAATCTGAGATAACAAGGTGTAGAGCTGGATGAACACAGCAGGTCAAGCAGCATCAGAGGAGCAGGAAGGCTGATGTTTCGGGCCTAGACCCTGCTAGACTGGTCTGATGACATAATTGCTGGTCCACTCGAGGAATGCCTGCTGAAAAACAATGCATGTAGTTGCATTACCACTGCACTGTGCCAGAGCTGAAATTCTCATGACAAAGTCCTTTGCCAATGAGAGCAAAATCCATTGTCACATTGGCATCTTTTCCACAGTGGTAACTAATTGCCCCCTTTTCACATCAAAGCTGATACTTATTGAATTGCTGAAGATTTCATATTATAAGTTCCCTCTAAATATTGAAGTTTGGCAGGCATTTTTATTTTTAAAATATATGTTAAATTCATGAAAGTGCAGTATCCAAATATCATCCATGACCCCATGTGCTTCAACAGTTTTTTTTAACTTATTTGATAATTTAACTTATTGTTCAGGTGTTGCAAGTTTAAATCAGAGTGCACTGAGTCGACCAATGCAACGAAAACTGGTTACCTTGGTTAACTGTCAATTAGTAGAGGAGGAAGGTCGTGTTCGAGCAATGCGGGCAGCAAGATCACTTGGAGAAAGGACAGTTACTGAGCTCATTCTGCAGCATCAGAATCCCCAGCAGTTATCGGCCAATTTGTGGGCAGCAGTGAGAGCCAGAGGTTGTCAATTTTTGGGACCAGGTAAGTGGTGAAGTAAAATTCATCTTTTAGAATTGTTATTCCTCCTAAAAAGTTTCTGGTATCTAGTGACTGAAGCTACATGTATATCATTGTCAGCTGTAGCTCAAATAGTAGCATTCTTCCCCTATATTGGGAGGCTTTGGGTTCAAATTCCATTCGAGACCTGAGCACAAAAATATAGTTTGACACTTTTGTTTTAAATTTCGCTTTTTGAATATGGAGCAACAATTAAAAGCTGAAGTAATGAGGACCTGTGTTTATAATAATTACCTGTTGGTAACAGAGTAATTAATTTGTGATGAGAATATTGTAAACGAATCTCTGACAGCTAACTTAAGTTCATTTAAATGTGCTCCAGATTTCCAATGTAACTTCAGACCAGCTCTAACTTTGTGTAGTGAGATTAGTTCACGCTAGTGCAACATTTTCAACGTATCCCATGATAAGTCAGAGAAAGTGATAAAATTCTCACAATGTTAATGAAAGCTCATTATCATTTAAACATATAGAGCACAGAATGGTACAGCACGTTTGGGCACAAATTTTTGATTTCCTGCATCTGATGACTCTTATCATCTTTTTGCTTTAAGTTTCTGTAATATTTGCACACATGAAACAGTGAGAGCCATTAGCCTCCCTGTTGTTTTGATAGTGAATAATGGGCTAGTGTGTTTTTAGGGTAGGTATTGTAAGTTGCCTAACAGTATATACTTGACCATGTTGAAGGTAATTTTATATTTGAAGTGTAGCATTTCTGTATGACTGGATGGATTTGAAACATTTGACATTTTGGTTCTTTGTTCCTTCCAGATATAGAGCTGATTCCATTGTATAGCTTAAATAACTACATTTGAGCATTGAGTTGCTGTTTGAACCTGGCTTGTCATTGTTAGATCAAGGTTGAGCTTTACCTCAACTCCATCTTCCCCACAAATGTTCCATATAACTTGACATCATAACAAATGAGTTTTTTTTTTTAGCATTTTTGTGTATCCGAATTATGATGCTTGTGTTTCCCTTTTTTTTTGTCAGCCATGCAGGAAGAAGCTCTTAAATTGGTTTTACTTGCATTGGAAGATGGGTCAGCACTCTCTCGGAAAGTGTTGGTTCTTTTTGTTGTTCAGAGGCTTGAACCACGATTTCCTCAGGCATCTAAAACTAGTATTGGTCATGTGGTACAACTCTTGTACCGTGCTTCATGCTTTAAGGTACAACCTTTTTCTATTTACCCAATTTTCTTTTCTCTTTATTTTTCCTAAGATCTAAATTTTATGTATTTTATTTCAAGTATTTAACTATAATTGCAATAGTGAGCTGGATATTTCCTGCCCCTGACTAATTTCCCAAGCATCATCATTGTCCAACCTCTCTTGCTTTTTCTTAAATTTTGTTCTTAATTTTCCTCACCCCCTTTATGTTGTGACATTGCAGGAAGGAGTTCTTTCTTTCTTCGCCACTGTCTTACCAGACCATGGGACTGCTCTCCCATGAGAGAGATGTGACTGATGGTGGTTTAACCTGAGGGTCACTGTGCATCAGGCGAGAGGAGAGGTTGGGAAAGAGAATCCTTCAGAGTAACCTCAGCTAGAGCAGGAATTGAACCCATGCTGTTGGTATCACTCTGCATCACAAACCAACCATCCAGCTAACTCAGCAAATCAACCCCTCACATTGCAGAAAAGGGGCATTGGAAACCAGGTCTTGTACTTTTTTTAGTGCTACAATTGAGTTTGATCATGAGAAGATGCTGGGAAAATCTGCACATTGTGATATTCCCTTTCTAGTTTTTAATCTCCTGACCCTCCTGGTTTAAAACAAAAGTACCTTCTTTCTCCTCATCTCATGGGACATCAACTTATGAATTTACTGAAAGGAAGTCCAGCCTTCTATTACATTAATAATATATGTGAGCCTTGGAGCACACTTTAATGATTAATATAAACATATCAGATTAGCATTAGAAGTGGTGAATTTGATGAAAGAACATAAGTTAAAGAAAATCACACTGTTTATTGGTGTTACCTTATCATATGAATATTGTGTGTTCTCTTCTACCTCATGATAACAATGTCAGCTATTTTTTAAGTTTATTTTTTGTTTTGCTATTAAATAAAGGGCTGCTTCTATCCCTGGTGCAGACAGATGAAAAATTGACTATTTTAAAAATGGCACTTTTGCAAATGCAATGCTGTATATACAGCTTAACTTTTGTGGTCTCAAGTTGGTCTTCAACCTAGCCAGCAAAGCAGAAATCATAATGGATGATTTTGAAAACTTACAATTTTTAATAAGGGTCATTATTTAAATAGAATACAGTGTAATGTTACCTAAGTCAATTATACAATTCCAGATAAACCATTTGTTGGTGCTTATTAATGCAAATTTTGGAAGAAAATATCGGAATGTGACAGTAAGTGAGGTTGTAGAAATGCTCGCCGAGCCAGTAGGTTTGGTTGCAAATGTTTCATCACCTTGCTAGGTAACATCATCGGTGCACCTCCGATGAAGCGTCTGTGTTCTGTCCCGCTTGTTATTTACATGCCTTGGTTTGCTGGGGTGGTTGGTATTACTTCCGGTTCTGTTTCTCCGTGGTTTGTACATTGAATTAGACCCTATGTGTGTGTTGATGGAGCTCCAGTGGAATACCAGGCCTCCAGGAATTCCCTGGCATGTCTCTCTTTGGTTTGTGCGATTATGGATGTGTTGTCCCAGTCGAATCCGTGTCCCTCATTGTCCATGTGTAGTGAGACAAGTGAGAATTGGACATGTCTCTTGGTGACTAGTAGGTGTTCATGTATCCGAATTGTCAATTTTCTTCTGGTTGGGCCTCTGTAGTGTTTCTCACAGTTCTTAGATGATATTTTGTATATTACCCAGTTTTGCTGGTTTTGGGTATGGGATCCCTTACATCCATCAGTAGCTATTGTAAGGTCGTTGTTAGTTTGCAGGCTACTCTGGTACCTAAGGGTCTGAGTAGCCTTGTGGTCATCTCTGAAATGTCCTTAGTGTGTCTGGTCATGTTGTGTCTTCCTTTTGTGGTCTGTCTCAGAGGTAACAGCAGATTGTGCTTTTCAGTTATCTATTCCTTTTGAAGACTCCTGTTCTGCTATGCATAGCTCCAGGTTGCTGCTCATTTATGGGCGTTGAGGTGGTTGCTAGTGTAATTGAGTATCTGGTCCGTACGTGTGGTCTTTCTATATATACGCTAGTCTGCAGTTCCCTGTTGTTTTCGCGATCTATCATTATGTCAAGGAAGGGTAGTCGGATGTTGTTCTCTGCTACTTTAGTGAATTTTATCCCGGTAAGGATGTTGTGTATGTGCCAGTGGGTTTCTTCTAGTTTTGTGCGTTTCGTAATCACGAAGGTATCATCTATACATCGGACCCAAAGTTTGGGTTGTAGTGGGGAGTGCTGTCTGTTCTAATCTTTGTATTACTGCATCTGCAATCAGCCCTGACATTGGGGTTCCTCTTGGTGTTCCATTGATTTGTTTTTATATGCTGCCGTTGAAGGTGAAGTGGGTTGTGAGGCACAAATCCAGTAGTTTCAAGGTGGTGTCCTTATTGATGTTGTTGGTGCCCTCGGTTGCCTGCCTACTTGATTCGTCCAGTAGTGTGGCCATTGTCTCGTTGGCTAGGCCATTGTTGATGAATGTAAATAGTGCTGTTACATCAAAGGATATCATCATCTTCTATCCTGGTTTCCTTGACAATGTTGAGGAATTCTTGGGATGAGTGGATGGAGTCAGTAGTGTTGTTCACTATGTATTTCAATTTCTGTTTGTAGTTCTTTGGCAAGTCTGTGTTGGTGTGCCTGGCAGTGAGGCAATGGGTCTGTGGATGCCCCCCCCAGTTTGTGTACCCGAGGAATCCGTAGAATCGGGATGTGTTGGATCCCGCTGGCTTCTATTTGGTAGTCTGTCTTGCTGATGTCTCCTGAGTTGAGTAATTTCTTCAGGGTCATTGTAATCCAGTTCCTAACTATCGTGTCAGGTCTGTCGCTACCTGTTGGTAGGTGTCGGTATCCACTAGTAGCGCATTCGTTTTCTCTTTGTGTTGGGTTCTACTGAGCATTGCTGTCATGCGTTCTTTGTCCACTGGTAAGATTACAATATTCCTGTCTTTCTTGAGTTTTTCCAGGGCTTTCCTCTCTTCTGTGTTGAATGTGTTCCAGTTTCCTTTTTTGTTCAGTGTTGGGACTATCATCTGTCTGATGGTCTGTTGTACTTTTGTGAGTCCATTTGTTCTTTAGTGTTGATTCCAGTGCAGCCAGGAAGTCAGTCTTTTTGGTGTCTCTCTAGTTATAATTGAGTCCGTGTACGAGGATGGTCTTCTCAGTGTCTGTAAGTTGTCGGTCCGAGATGTTTTTAACTCGTGAATCTGTGTGTCCGTGTCGTTGATGTGGGTGATTTTGGACAGCTTTTCTTGAAGGGCTATTCTTTTTGTTCTGGTCTTTTGTTGTTGTATGCTGATGGCTTGTATTTGTGGAGGCGGTTGTGGGCATCCATTGATCATAACCCTTATCATTCTGCGGCCGTTCTGTTCAGCTGTCCTCCGTGCATAAACAACATCCTTATCGGGATAAAATTCATGAAAGAAGACGAGAACTACAACCAACTACCCTTCCTGGACATAATGGTAGAACGCAAAAACAAGAAACTCCAGACTAGCATACATAGAAAGACCACACATACGGACCAGATACGCAATTACACTTGCAACCGCCCCAATGCCCACAAACAGAGCTGCATCAGGACGATATTTAAACAAGCCACAAAACATTGCAGCAACCTGAAACTACACAAAGCAGAACAGGAATACTTGTATAGAGTCTTCAAAAGGAATGAATACCTGAAAAGCCCAATCCACGTTACCTCTGAGACAGACCACAACAGGAAGACACAACACAACCAGACTTATTAATCACCCTACCATACATCAAGGATATTTCAGAGATGACCACAAGACTACTCAGACCCCTAGGTATCAGAGTAGCCCATAAACCAACAACCACCCTTTGACAACTAGTGACGAACATGAAGGATCCCATACCCAAAACCTGCAAAACTGGGTTAATATACAAAATACCATGCCAGGACTGTGAGAAAAACTACATAGCCCAGACCAGAAGAAAATTGACAATACGGAAAAATGAACACCAACTAGCCATCAGGAGACACAACCAATTCTCACTTGTCTCACTACACACGGACAGCAAGGGACACGAATTCAACTGGGACAACATATCCGTAATTGCACAAGCCAAACCAAGACATGCCAGGGAATTCCTGGAGGCCCGGTATTCCAACCGTAGTTCCATCAACAAACACATTGAATTAGACCCTGCGTACAAACCACTGAGAAACGGAACCAGAAGTAATACCAACCACCCAGCAAACCAAGGCATATAAATAACAAGCGGGACAGAACACCAACGCTTTACTGGAGGTGCACTGACTATATTACCTAGCAGGGTGACAAAACGTTTGCAGCCAAACTCACTGGCTCGGCGAACGTGTCTACAACCTCATCCACAACCCGAGCTACAAATCTTCTCAAACTTATGACAGTAAGTGATTCAGCCATTTAAGCGGCCTTCAGTTGAATCGTGTCTGATCTGTATCTTCATCCCAATTTAGTCCTGTCACTATTTAATATCCGTGCCCTCTAAAAAAACATTTTACCAATTGTTGTTTTAAAATCCTTAATTTAATTGTTTTCGACAGCATTTCTGGAGGTGTAAGTTTACTACTCTATGAAGAAATGCTTGCTACCCTTGCCCCTTAATGGCTTTGCTTTATCCAAGAAGTTGGAACAGAAGTAAACCACAGTATCTATTGAGTCTTTGCCATTCAAGATGATGATTGCTGGTCTTGGGCTTCAACTGTACTTTCTTATCTGCTCCTCATATCCATTGTCTCATTGAGATATCAAAAATCCATCTACTTCTGCGATAAAGGCCAACATCCCTTTCTAATTGTATGCTAACTTTCCAAGTTCCTTGAATGAGCACATCCAAGTCTTATCAGAACATCAACGTTTTGAGTTTCATCACCTTTTCAAATATATTCTGCTTTTCTGTTCTTGCAATAAAAAAGAATAGCTTGACACTCCTCTGATTTGCTCCATCCACCACATTGTTGCACACACTTGCTTAACCTATCTCTATATATTTGTGGTCTCTGTGTCCTTCCCACAGCCTGCCTTTCCACTTAGTTTTCTATCATCAGCAAACTTGGGTACATGACTCTGTGTCTTCATCTGAATCAATAAAATACATAAGTAGCTGAGGGCACAATATTGGTCGTTGTGACCTTCCACTAGCCACAGCCTACCAACTTCCTGCTTGCGACCACGCTCTGCTTTTTGTGAACCAATCCTGTATGAATGCTAATCTAATATTCCTAATTCCATATGCCCTTATTTTACCTATTAACCTTTTGCATGGCCACTTATTCAACACCATTTGGAAATCTAGCTTACTGCATATACTGATTCCCTTTTTGTTCCTCTACTAATTAGATCCTCTCAAAATTCCCACACAATTTTTCAAGCAGGACTTGCTCCTTATAAAATCATGTTGACTTGTTCGAATCATTCTATACTTTAAGCATATTAAAATTTATTAACAAATAGATACTAGCATTTTTCCAATGACTGTTGGGTATACTGGCCTGTAATTCCTGGCTTTCTCATAGGAAACCAGCGTCCGATATGCTGGGACTCAAATCTAAGGAATTTTGGAAAATCATAGCTTGCATATTCATCACCTCTGCAGCTATGTGTTTTACTACCTTAAGTTTTTGTTTTTGTTCTGGACTGTCTCTGTCTCTCGTCACTAAATACATCTTCCATAAATATTAGACATTTCATTGCAACATCCACACTCCTGTTTCTGTATTTAAATAAATACTTGTCTAATCTAGTCAGTTTGACTTAACCATTTTAAATGGTCCAGCCCTTTCAACAATGCATCTCTTCTGAGGGTAGTATATTTTCCCAAAATGCTTTGATTTAGATTGACTGCAAACAGAGTTAACTCAGCACTGACTGATGAAAAAACAATAACTAGCCTCAAATACTGATATTTCTTTTTCCCCTGTGCTATTAAATTTTTCTATGGTTTTGTTTCTTACTGTGGCTGTTTCTCTGTAGGTTACTAAAAGGGATGAAGACTCTTCTCTGATGCAACTGAAAGAAGAGTTTCGTACTTACGAAGCTTTGCGCAGGGAGCATGATGCACAGATTGTTCATATTGCCATGGAGGCTGGGCTTCGAATTTCCCCTGAGCAATGGTCTTCTCTCTTGTATGGAGATTTGGCACATAAATCACATATGCAGTCCATCATTGATAAAGTATGTGTTGTAGAAAACATGTAAATGATACCTTTTTTTTCCAGTGGAGTGTTAAAGTTGAAGTGTGACTTCAGCTCAGAACACATTTACAAAACATTGTTTAGCCATTTTAAGACGTGACAAAATTTTAGTTTGTGAAAAGAATGTTAATTAAAGGCAGATTTGTTCAATTCCTACCTTAAATCTTGCATTATTATTTCATTACAAAATAGTATGATGCAATTTATGGAGTATTTAAATTTTTGTATGTTAGACTTATTAACTGCTACTTATTAATTGCTGGAAAGTTTTGTCTTCAAGCCTGATTATCTTGCTCATATAATAACTGCACACCAAATGTGGCATAAGTAAATGCCCCCCAGCTGCGTTATATTCTAGCCACAGTGTCTTTCCAGTGGCCTTTACATCCATTGATAGGTATTGACTGCATAGTTTAGCTTTACATTATGCATAAGGTTGGTTTCTTAATGGTTGAGCATGAGCAAGGAATAGGGATTCAGTGTTACTGTTGAAATTTAGTGATAACTCGTTTCTCAGAAAATGCTTAGAACAAGTCGCTTACATATTGTCAAGGATCTAAATATATAATTGCAATAATGGCTGAAAATGGGGAAAATATATTCTACCTTAATCAACACTTGCATGATATTTCAGTAGAGGCAGAAATGTTGCTCCAAAACAATTAGTATTCACATAGCTGTAGATGTATGCATTACATGCAATCACTATACTGCAAATATGGTATATGTTGTAATTCTGGCTAACTTGAATTGAAACTAACCAATTTAAAATTAATGTAGCCTGTCACTTTACAGTTTTGATGTGCAGCTGTAGACTCTCTTCGAGCTTTAACCTTTTGGCATATTTGAAATCTCATGTCAGTTTTTGTTTTTTACCAAGTTTGATAGTAATGGTTAAACTTGCAGTACAGTTTCTGATAAATCTTTGCTACAAAACTGATTGTGTAATTGATTATTTTGCTTAAAAGTTACAAAGTCATATTTTAATTGTTTGCTTTAAGCCGTTCTTTACCTCTGTTTCTTATGAAGCTCCAATCCCCAGAATCTTTTGCAAAGAGTGTCCAGGAATTGACTATTGTCCTGCAACGGACAACGGATCCAGCTAATCTGAACCGACTCCGATCCCATCTTGAACTTCTGGCTAATATTGATCCTAACCCAGGTATATATGAATTTGTAACATTTCTAAACCAGAAGACCATTGAATTTCAAAGAGTATTCTATGTTCATCCCTTGATTTTATCCGGATATTTTGGAAGTGGTTACTTTCCTGGAAGAAATAAACTATTACCAGTGATATTGCAGCTATTGCACTACTGCTTATTTGTTGGTTAAGCCACACATAAAGTAGTTTAGATTGCTTGGTTCTGATTTCTTAAACTACACCTTACTATTTTAGTGGGTTGGCCCTTTGTATTTTATCTTTACTAACATTATCACATTAGAACATGGTCGTTTCAATGGAAATTGAATAGCTGGCTCAGTTCTAAGGAGCATGACACAATATGGCTGTAGTCCAATCAGCCCACAACATGCTATAATTGATTCTTGGTCCTTTGTGTTAGCTGATTTCTGCCAGAGCAGCAATAAAGATTCTAAGATTGACATTTGCCGAGGATGGGTTTAGACTCCTGATCATTATTCGAATAGTTACTACTGGTTGGATGTGCACCAAGATTAGGTCAGAATTGATGATAATTCTGCAATGACTAATCAAAATGGTCACCGTCCAGAATAATACTGTTCGGATGAGGTGCCACAAAAATGCTAAAAAATATGTTTATGAACTTATAAATGGTCAAAGAGTTTAAAAGCAATAGTTGACATGATTTTAGCATAACTAATGAATCCTTAATAGATTATACTGTGTTGTTTTACATATTGCAGGAAAATGTGTTTTGTGTCTTTGTCTTTAAGATGCAGCACCTCCAACATGGGAGCAACTAGAGAATGCAATGGTAGCTGTAAGGACTGTGGTCCATGGACTTGTGGATTTCATCCAGAACTTCAGTAAAAAAGGCCATGAAGCACCACAAGTAATACTTCTGTTTTGTGATTTTTTTTTTTTTAAATTTTAAGTGTCCATCTTTGCAGTTGTAATTTTTTTAATCTGTTGAAATAATGTAAGTGGAACCGGATCTAGTTATAATTAAAATTAACTATTCAAAGTAAGTTTTAAGACATGAACAGAACTGTTTTGCATTGAATTATTTCACAGCAAACATTTTAAAGTAATTTGATTATTGCTGAAGAAGATGTTTTCTGGAAGCTTTTTATCTTGCACTCATTAGAAAATTCACACAAAAACTATCAAATAAAGGGAAAATGATATTTTGGGGACAGTGCTGACTTGGCAAGTGGACTGTAGGAAAGGTGTTACCTCTATTCAACTCTAGAATGCACCGTTTTTTGACAGCAGTTAACTGCCAAACTTTGTTTAAATTTTAAACCAGACAAGTTGACTGTGATTAGCCAAGGCATTGCCCTGAGAAATGAACAAGAGAATGTCTGTGGCTTTGACAATTGAGTTTAAACAGTTGCAGTTTGGGTATATGTTCTTTCTACAGCAAAGAACAGGGCTTGTTTTGTAATATATTCCAGTATGTAAAAATGTGCTACATGTAAGCTCAACTGACAATTCTAAATTAGTTGCCAGTGTAATTCGTTGAACACTGGGCTATTTAGCAAATGAACTGGCCATATGGTTGTGCAAATTGCCACAATCAGTTTTAAGCAGGTTTTTCGTAGACTGTGAAAGATCCCTTCACACTTGTGTGGTCCGTACAGGACTTGCCGATTGATAACAGTTCAGTGTCCAAATGTTCATTTGACATTGTTGCACCACTCAAGGAAGCCATAGACATTTATGCTGCAGCACTATATCATAGTGATTCAGACCCCCCCCCCCCCACCCTCCTCCATTTATGAATCAGTATTTGTTGACCTGACGAACTCAAACTTGCTCAATTGAGTTCTGTTCTAACAACAATATCTGTGCCAGACATGGTATCACTATGGGACCCCTGCTGCGCCCAGCTCTAGCAGACATCTTTGTTGGTCACCACAAGAAATGTGTCTTCAGTGGAATGATAGCCACCCTCCTCCTCCATGTATCTTTCCGATGTGCAGATGATACATTTGCTATATTTGAATCTGCCCCTGTATGTACAAAATTCCTGATGTCCTAACAGGCTCCGTCTTGCAGTCAAATTGACCTTTGAAATAGAGCAGTCAAATGAGCTCCCATTCCTTGACATCTTAGTTGAAAAATTAACTGAGGGTTCTCTACTACTGCATGATGCAAACCTTGTAAAATGCTTTGGGATTCCTGTAATTCCACGTGCTGCAACATGGGCTTGACAGAAACGCCATAAATATGGCACAAACCATTTGTTCACCATAAAAGCCTGATGCTGAAATAGGGCACATCAAAACCATTCTGTGGGATAATGTCTGCCCTGATCAGATTTCTTGCTGTATGATGCGCAAAGTCTTGATTGCACCTAACGTCATCACTTTTGTCCTGAAAAGTACCCAGTTTGCAGATTACCCTCAAAAGTAAGATATCTCAAACCTTTGTGCAACGGGTGATGCTAGCTGTTTCCCACTGCTACATTGCTGTCAAACCGAATCAAACTGAAAGATGTTCTGTCTGTCACAAATGAGTAACTTGGTATGTGAATTTCAAAGCCACTGTGTTGCTAGGTATGCAAGCTGCGCATTCCAAAGATTGGTTGATCGTATCAAATAGGATATTCCCTTTGCTTGTTTGCTTCAAGCCATATTCTGACTCTATGCAAAAAGCTCCCATTTGTAAAACTCTCAAATAAAGCAAAGAACCGGAGATCTAAAACAAATGAAAACAGAAGTTGCAGAAGAAACTTAACAGGTCTAACAGCATCTGTGGACAGAATAAATACTTTTTAAGTTCTTTGACTATGCTTCAGAACAGTTCTGAAGAAGTGTCAATGGACTCAAAACGTCAACTCTGTTTTCTCTCCACAGCTGCTGCCAGATCTGTTGCAACTTCTATCTCCAGTAACTTCTGAGTTTGATCATTGTAAAAATCTCAATGCTAAATTCAACATTGGATGTGATTCTGGAATTGGACAACACTTGATAAGTAATCCTGAACATGCAAAGAATTATGCTGACAACCAGTTTGGGATTGTCAGTCAGGGTCACAGTGTGGCATGCTTGTGTGTACTGTACTGTAGATATTAATACACAGGGCCCTAGTCTTTGCAAACATAAGCATGTAGACACACTGCACCATTTCGAGATAGATGACAGCCTTTCTCTGGTTTGGCCAAAGCATCCCTTAAGAAACCATCAGAATCAAACTGCCTGGTTTAAAGTTTAAACAAAGCTTGGCAATTAACTGTTAAGCTTTATTACCTCACGCGTTTTCCCTGGCATTCGGTACATTCTCCAGGGTAGTATAAACGTTTATTTCCCTTTACTTTACTTTAATATGTCTTGTGAATTGTTCTGATAAATCCAAGACTAATAGCTTCAAGAAAATGTCTTCTTTTTCAGCACTGCTGAAGTTATATATTGACTGATTATTTATAATACAAATTGATCACTACGGAGCTAGAAGTAATTCATTGCCATTGATGATGGTTCTTTGTAATTTTTGAAGGTGTAGCAAAAATCAAATGTGCTTAGTCATATTCGTGATATTCATTGTTACTTTCAGCCACAGCCAAACAGCAAGTATAAGACCAGCATGTGCCGAGATCTTCGACAACAAGGAGGTTGTCCTCGTGGAGCTAACTGTACCTTTGCCCACTCCCAAGAAGAGTTGGAAAAGTATATGCATTCTTTAAATTGTTTCTTTTTGATTTATACCTTTTTACCAATCATTATGGAAAACAAGTCTATTTTCTGTCACCATGACTCCATTCTACAAAGTCAGTGATGAAGATGTCCTCATTTGTGAAGAATGTTGGTGCTGTGAAATGTAACACTTTTGGGCATAACTGTATCAAGTGCTTTCAAATGTAATTCTAAAATGGCAGGATAAATTTATTACCAGTCAAAGATGCAATTCCTCCACCTAAAAAGTACAGCACACTGTCTCTTCTATACTAACGTGGGTAAATGCACTTCCTGCACTAGCTGCTGTTTTGTCAACTCTGAGGGAAATTAGAAACTTTATTGATGCTGTCATTCTGAACAAAATATAAACTGTGACACAAATGAAGTCTATTTTGTCACACGATTTTGAGCAAATTTTTTAAAGCTTATCAAAAATATTAATAAAACAAAAGTAGCAGTCCATGCACTTATTTTGAGATTTGTTGCAAAAATACAATTCTAAAATTTAACTAGTTAATTTTGCATATTGCATCATTCAGAGATGGCTTTATCAATATTGACCTCTTTTTGGCCTTTATTTCAGAATAATATCATGCAATTTTATGCTAGTTCAGTTCCTTTGAAACTGAAAGGTTACAGGTATGAAACTCGTTTTGCCCCGTGTATATGTTCCCTTCCTGAGCATTTCCAGCACTTTCCACCTTCTTTTATTAATTTGTTTTCTAAATTATTTTAGAGTTCACATTTTGTTGTGAATGCAATGTGCACATTCAAATTGAGAGCTTTGCCTATTCTGAGATAGTAGGAACTGCAGATGCTGGAGAATCCGAGACAACAAGGTG